TACATTCTTTTCAGCTAAACATGGGTCATTCTCCAAAATAGACCACATACTAGCACATAGAACAGGTTTAATTAAATGCAGAGGAATCAAAGTTATCCCATGTATATTAGCAGACCATAGTGCAATTAAGCTTGAGATAAAAAACATAAGAAATTCACAAACACATGGAAATTGAACAAAACTCTCCTGAACAATCAATGGATCACAGAAGAAATTAGTCAGTTTTTACAATTAAGTGATGATGCCAATACAACATACAGTAATCTATGGGACACAATGAAAGCAGTTGCACATGGAAAATTCATAGCAGTGAATGCCCACACTAGGAAAACAGAGTGAGCTCAAATAAACAACCTAATGATGATACTTAGGCGTCTAGAAAAAGAAGAGAAAAAAAAAAAACCAAAGCTCATACAAAGGAGGAAATTATAATGATCAGAACAGAAATCAATGAAATGGAAGCTAAGAAAATGATACAAAAAATCAATTAATCAAAGAGTTTATTTTTTGAGAGAATAAAATCGATAAACTCTTAGCCAACCTTGTCAAAATAAAGTAACAAAGAGGCTCAGATCCATGCAATTATGAACAAAAATGGTGAAGTCATGACACATCAAGCAGAAATCCATAGGATTGTCAATAGCTACTTTGAGAACCTGTACTCTAATAAAATGGAAAACAGAAGAAATGGACAGATTTCTTGATACTTATGAATTACCAAAGTTGAATGAAGATGATAAAACAATTCTAGACATTCCAATTACAATCAGTGAAATTGAAAATGTAATTAAAAGTTTACCAATGAAGAAAAGCCCAGGTTTTGATATATTCATTGATGAATTCTACAAGACATGTAGAGAAGCACTACTGCCACTACTCTTTAAACTTTTCAATGAAATTGAGAGGGAAGCAAGACTTCCAAGTTCATTCCTGGAAGCAAGTGTTACTTTGATTCCCATCCAGGAAAAGACCCGACTAAAAAAGAGAACAATAGGCCAATCTCCTTAATGAATATGGATGCAGAAATCCTTAATAAGATACTGGCAAACAAGATACAGAGGGTCATCAAAAAAATCATACACCCTGAGCAAGTTGGATTTATTCCAGGGATGCAAAGATGTTTCAAAATACATAAATCATTAAATGTAATACACTGTGTTAACAGAATGAAGGAGAAAATCATATGATCCTCAAAAAGTATTTCACAAAATTCAGCACCCATTCATGATAAAAAAAAACCCTGCAGAAAATTGGAATAGATGGTCTATATCTCAACTTGATAAAGTTGAAAAACCAACAGCCAGCATCATATTAAATGGCCAAAAATTGAAAATAGTCATGCTAAAATCAGGAATAAGAAAAGCATGTCAACTATCACCACTCCTGTTCATTATAATTCTGGAAACATTAGCCACAGCAATGACACAAGAGAAAGAAATTGAAGCAATAAAGATAGGAAAGGAAGAAGTTAAACTGTCGCTATTTCCTGATGATAAGATAATCTACACTGAAGACCCAAAACACTCTGACAAAAGACTTCTAGACTTAATTGACACTTTTAGCAGAGTAGCTGGATACAAGGTCAACACTCAAAAATCAATAGCCTTCTTATACACAAAAAGCAGACTCACTGAGAGAGAAATTAAGGAAACAATTCCTTTCACAATAGCATCCAAAACAATGAAGTATCTAGGAACCAATATAATGAAAGAAGCAAAAGACCTCTACACTGAGAACTACAGCACTCTGAAAAAAGAGATCAAAGAGGATATAAGAAAATGAAAAGATATCCCCCGCTCCTGGGTAGGAAGAATCAACATAGTGAAAATGGCCGTGCTACAAAACTGCTATACAGATTCAATACAATGACAATCGAAATTCCAACACTATATTTCACAGAAAGAGAAAAAAGAATCCAAAAATTCATTTGGATCCAGAAGAGACCTAGAATAGCTAAAGCCATTCTAGGCAACAGAGACATGGCAGCAGGTATAACAATTTCCAATTTGAAACTATACTACAAAACCACTGTGATAAAAAGCATGGTACTTGCAAAGAAACAGATCTGAGGATCAGTGGCACAGATTGGAAGACACTAAAACAACTCCAGATGTACTTAGCTACCTCATCTTTGACAAAGGAGCTGATCATCCTCAGTGGAGGAAAGATAGCCTCTTTAATAAATGGTGTTGGAAAAACTGGATTTCAACCTGCCAAGGATTAAAACTGGACCCTTATCTTTCACCATGAACTAAATTAAAATCCAAGTGGATTAAGGATATAAACATTAAAACAGAAACAGTAAACTTTGCTGGAAGATAAGTTAGGCAGAACTCTGGAAGACATTGGCATAGGAAAAGACTTTATGAACAAATCTTCAGTAGCATGGGAACTAGCACAAAGAATTAACAACTGGGATCTCATCTTATTAAAAAGCTTCTGTATTGCAAAAGAAACCATCAGCAGAACGAAGAGACAACCTACAATGTGGTGGGAAAATTTTTACCAGTTGCTCCTCAGACAAAGGACTACTATCAAGAATATATAAAGAACTCAAAAAACTCAGGGCCCCCAAATATAAAGACCCAATTCATAAATGGGCATCTGAAATGAAAAGACATTTCTCAGACAAAGAAGTAAAAGCAGCAAGTAATTATATGAAAAAATGTTCCACATCACTGGTCATTCAAGAGATGCAGATGAAAACAACACTGAGATTCCACCTCACCACACAAAGAATGGCTACTATCAAGAAAACAATCAATAACAAATGTTGGCGGGGTTGTTGGGAGAAAGGAACCCTTCTCCATTGTTGGTGGGAGTGCAGACTGGTGCAACCACTATGGAAATCAATATGGAGATACCTCGAAGAGTTGGGATAGAGGTTCCATTTGACCCAGTCATCCCTCTGCTGGGTATCTTTCCAAAATAATTAAAAGAATCATATCACAGTGATATATGCACACCAATGTTTATAGCGGCACAGTTTGTAATAACTAAAACTTGGAAACAGCCCATTTGCCTATCACTTGGAATCTAGATAAAGAAGATGCGGTTTTTCTATAAAATGGAATACTACTCAGCCATAAAGAATGAGAAATTAGATTCATTCATAGGAAAATGGATACATATTGAGGATATACTCCTAAGTGAAATAAATAAGTCACGCAAGTATAAATACTGAATAGTTTCTCTGGTGTGAAAAACTATAGTAGTACATGATCCTAACGATATAACTGACCATGTGAAATAGGAAGAAAAGGGCTAAAGGTGTAGGGAAAATGGGTAGGGGAAAGGTAATAAGGGAAAAAAAATATGAGAAAATGAAAAAATTGAAATAAAGTGTTTGTAAATGGGGAGGGGAAAAGGGGGTGAAGGGAGTGCACAGACAAGGGAAAAAAATGAAAATCAAGACCTGTTATGTAAAGATACAAGATCCCAATAATGAATGTAATTGTACTGTATACCTTAAATATACCAATAAACTCAATAAAAAAAACTGCACAGTACTGTCAAAGAAACAGACATGAGGATCAGTGGAATAGATTGGAAGATAGAGCAATAACTCCAGATGTACTCAGCTACCTAATCTTTGACAAAGGAGCCAACCATCCTCACTGGAGGCAAAATAGCCTCTTTAATAAATGGTTTTGGAAAAACTGGATTTGAACCTGCCAAAGATTAAAGCTAGACCCTTATCTTTTACCATGCACAAATCTAAAATCCAAGTGGATTAAAGATCTAAATATCAAAACAAGAGTCACTAAATTAGCTGGAAGATAAATTAGGCAGACATTGGCATAGGAAACAACTTTATGAACAAATACTCAGTAGTATGGGAACTAGCAGAAAGAATCAACACCTGGGATCTCATCTTCTTGAAAAGCTTCTGCGCTGTAAAACAAACCATCAACAGAACTAAAAGACAACCTACAATGTGGGAAAAAATTTTTTACCAGTTGCTTCTCAGACAAAGAACTATTATCTAGAATATATAAAGAACTCAAAAAACTCAGGGCCCCCAAATATAAAGACCCAATTCACAAAAGGGGATCTGAAATGAATAGACATTTCTCAGACAAAGAAGTAAAAGCAGCAAGTAAATATATGAAAAAATATTCCACATCACTGGTCATTTGAGAGATGCAGAGAAAAAAAACACTGAGATTTCACCTCACCCCACAAAGCATGGCTGCTATCAAGAAATCAACCAATAACAAATGCTGGCAGGGTTGTGCGGAGAAAGAAACCCTTCTCCATTGTTGGTGGGAGTGCAGAATGGTGCAACTACTATGGAAATCAATATGGAGATACCTCAAAGATCTAGGATTAGAGGTTCCATTTGACCCATCTAGTCCTCTGCTGGGTATCTTTCCAAAAGAAGAGAATCATACCACAGTGATGTATGCACACCCATGTTTATAGCAGCACAGTTTGTAATAGCTAATACTTGGAAACAGCCCAATTGCCCATCAGTTGGACTCGATAAAGAATATGTGGTTTTTCTATAAAATGGAGTACTGCTCAGACATAAAGAATGGGAAAATAGAGTCATTCATAGGAAAACGGATGCATATTTAGGCCATACTCTTAAGTGAAATAAATGAGACACATATGTGTAAATACAGAACAGTTTCTCTGGTGTGAAAAACAAAAAGTGTAGAAAAGATCCAAATTGTATAATTGACAATGTGAAATAGAAAGAAAAGGGCTAAAGGTGTAGGGGAAGTGGGAATGGTAGGGGAAATGAAATAAGGGACAAGAAAAAATATGAGAAAAGGCAAAAATGGAAACAGTCTGTGTAAATAGGGGAGGGTGGAAGAGGTGAAGGAAGGGCAGGAGTGTGGGGAAAAAATGAGAACCAAGACTTGTCATGTAAGGGTACAAGATCCCAATGATAAATGTAACTGCACTATACACCTAAAATGTACCAATAAACTCAATGAGAGAAAATAAATAAATAAGTAAATAAAAGAAAATAATAGTCCTGGACCACTGTATTGGATTGTTTACATTTTTATTAATTGCAACACAGAGAAAAGTGATCAAGTGTTTAAAGAAATTTGCATTCCTTGGATAGTGTGCTGGTTTTATACCAACAGAAAAGAAAAACAGATGAGGAAGCTCTAACTCTTCATCTCTCTTTTTCTCAGGGTAGGCTGTAAAACAGAAGGAGATATCTAAGTGCTGTTTGAAAAGTAGCATGCATTTATAAATCTATTAATATAAATGATAATTTCTTACATAATCTTTTAGCAATTGTCACCAATGGAAACAGTTTTAGCTGAATTTCCCTTTTGTGGATATGTACAGAAAATGCACACCCTCTACCTCACAACTTCTACCAAATTCAAGTTTCCTAGTCAGAGGTTTCTCCTCATCACTTCCCAGAATTATTTATTTAATATCTACTTCTTACCTAAGTTATTACAAACAAAAAGTATATTCTCAAAGTTAGAATGCCAGGAGGAAAATTCTTCTTTTTAGTACTGAAACAACTCTCACTAGCCTGAATGGCTCTGAGTTCTGGATAATACACGTCAGAGTAGAACTGTAGCTTATTCTTAAGCTCTGGTTTCAATTTTAAATTTAAGGTCCACCCCTCAGTAGCCCTGGGGTAAACTACTTAGCCTGTGGTTCTATCTATGTGTTCATTTTCTTATCTATAAATTGTGAAGAATAATATCACTCAACTCAGCCATTAATTTAAATATTAAATCATAAATGTATATCTGTAAAGACAAGAATGGTGGTGACTATGCTAGACCATGTAGCTTTTGGCAAATGGTCACTATTTGCAATTTCAATAACAATTACAATTACTTTTTTAAAATTTGAAGTATATTTACCTGAGATATTTGTATTTATGATGTTTTTAGGCTAAGACAGCTTGACATTCCTCAACAAGTTTTTTACCCTAAATGCAAAGAAATGCCAGATGTTGGAAAAATATTAGCGTTATTATTGGAATAAAAATTTCATTTATACAGTTACTGGTGATTACAAAGTTATTTCACATGCATCCTATCCTTTAATTTCAATTTACTCCCAGTTTAATCTCTAGAAAGAAACTTAACATCATCTGCTGACCCCAAAATACTTTTTTTAAATTATTGTGAGTTCACAGGAAGAAAATCAAATGAATCAGATATTTAAATGTAAATATCCCCCATAGGCACTAACCTGTAAATATCAATCAAAGTACAAACTAATATTTTTCAGGAAAATGTTTAAATAATTGCTTTACTGATCAAAAGATTTCAAGCTTTATGAATATTTTATCTATATTCATAAACATCATAAACTTGAAAATTCAAAGGCATTATAAATATTTAATACTATGTCACAGTGAAGCAGGATAAAAAAACAAGAACTGCTTACATCCTTCTGTAAGAAAACTGTATGTAAAACAAGATCTCTGGTCAAGAGGTCCTTCAATATATAAATTGCTAAGCCCAACCCTGACCAAATGCACTAAAACAGAAGTTCAGACATTAAAATTTAAAAAATCATACTTCTTGTTCAAAGCAGTCCCCCTTATTCTCAGCATGGCAGCAATTTTCTAGGAAAGGTCCAAATTTTCCCAAAATGGTTTTCAGTTGCTCCTCTGTTGCCTTGGGCTTGTGTTTCACCAGTTCAGCAAGTGCCCTGCATTTGACAAAAAAAAAAAAAAAAAAAAAAAAAAAAAAAAATAAAAAAAAAAAAAAAAAAAAGAAAAGAAAGAAACAAAAGGAAAATGTTTACTTACATAAAGAAAAATGGAGGTGGTAAACATAGTGTGACACCATTTAAGATTAAAGCCTTGAAACCAAGTGATTCTGAATTTGAGGCCCATGCACAGAATGCCTTGATAGTCTCATGTGCATATGAGAATAATGAAATTCATTTACCACAGTAGTGTGAAGATCAGTATCATAACTGATGCAAATCACGCTATATTTTATGTAGTCTCAATACATCACTGCATAAGATTGTGTGGATGCATTTGGATATTATTCAGATTTTAGAAGTGATGTCCCATTAAATTCTATAGTTATGAAAGAATTTTAAATGATATTTTGAAATTTAATTATCCTGGTTTTATTTACAAAGCTTTTCAACTGAAAAACTTCACATTTGGTCTTTGAAATTTGCTTCATTCAAAGTTAACGATGAGCCGGGGATCTAGCTCTGTGGTTCCAGTCCTGCCTCACAAGCACAAGGACCCGAGTTTAATCCCCAGTACAAAAAAAAAAACAAAAACAAAGTTAAGGATGGAAGGCAACAGGAAGTAAAACAGGTGATAATGGCAGAGTCCTCACGTTTGCTTCTTGATTTGTTGCTCGTGCTCTGGAAGTGTGCATATGTCTGGGTGGAAGGTGAATGTCTCAGCACTAAAATCTTTGGGGACATATGTGTCATCAAGTTGCAGAGCAGAAAAGCATGGTCTCCTGTTCACCAAGGACTCAGTGCAGCATTTTGTGACTCTGTCGCTCACTGGTGTCTTCTCATGCAACACACACAACCAGTTCAGGATGAGGGCCAGCTAAAGAACAGGGAAGAGAGCAGAAATTGGAAAGCAGCAAAGCTGAAGTTTTCCATGAACATCCTCTTTCCAATACTCCAAAAGATGCACCATATATACCTAGCAATATTGAATCCAAAGTTGGCTGAGACAGTGATTTATTTTTGGAACCAAACATAAGACACTTTAAAGATTCATCTATCTCTTAATTAAGTGTATCTACATTTAAGAATAATTACTTGAAAAAATAATTGATGAAAATAATTTGAGATGTTACAGCCTTGGTCTGATTTGAAGTGGGGAGGAAATGGTTGTACTAACACATTAAACAGAAACCCTAAAGAAAGTAAAAATTTAGAAAATGCCAGGATAGAATACTGAAAATTCATGGATTTTTAAAAAGAAGATATCATCTTTAATATCTCAACTAAATCCTTAATTTTAATAGAATAATATAAATAAGCCAGGTGTAGTGGCACACACCTATAATCTCAGCACTGAGGAGGCTGAGGCAGGAGGATTGCTGTGTGTTCAAGACCAGCCTGGGCTACATGGTGAGTTCTAGGTCAGCCTCAGCTACATAGGGAGACCCTATCTCAAAAAAACAACAACAACAAAATAATAATAATAATATAAATAACCAATTTCTGGTTGCCACTACTGCAAGCACATGCACACACACACACACACGCACACACACTCATGCAACCCTGCTTCTGGAAGTTTGCTGTGTCAATCAGTACATTTAAGAACTCATCATTAACTTTATTATGTATATTATTAAAAAACTCACATAGTTTTCAGTGCAGGGCAGCCTCTGAGACTCCTGAAGTGTGCAGCACTTGGTTCCCACTCTTCCTAGGTTTCTCGCAGTCTCTACGATTGTTGCAGTTGACATCTGCGGTGCTTTCCGGGTGTAACGGACGATGAGCCTTTGAAAGAGAACAGTCCGTGTGTTTTCAGTGAGGTGCTAAACTGTCCTTTTTTAAGAAGATCATGCAGAGAAAATTTAGCCACAGTCTATTTTAATATTCCTTTCCACTCACCAAGGAAGTCCCATCTCCAGGGAGAAAGTGTATCAGAGAAGGACCCTGTTCTAAGCAACTACGTAATAATCATATGATCTTAGGAACAAAGGTTACTTTATTATAATTCAATGGCATTAATATATTTATTATTGCTCCTTTCTTAAATTCTATAGAGATCTTAATATGTATCAGTACTGTGATAAACTTGAAAGATACGGGTTAACAAATGGGAGGAAATATACCTGCCTTGATAAAGATAATATAAGAACTAAATTAAAAGAAGTAGCATTTGCAATGAAGTTGGCACATTATCTAACACACCACAGTCATTTATGCTGATCATTGCTGGAAGTCAGTGCACAACTGTAATCTATTCAAGGGAAGAAATTACGCCTCCTTCTCTGTTATTATCCCTAATATATATGCTAAATATCTAGTGTTTCCCAAAACGTAGTATTCACATATATATCTAAATCCATTTTATTATATTTTTGTGTTCCACTATTATATTACTTCTTAATCTGCAGCTATTTAAGGCCTATTGCTTGTTGCTCTGTAAAATACTGCTGTGTTTTATTTGCTCATAAACTATCCCTTAGCTAGACGTGGTGGCACACACCTGTTATCTAAACACTTGAGAGCTGGGGCATTGAAAATTGCCGAAAGTTCAAGGCCAGCATGGGCTACATAATGAATTCTAGGCCAGCCTGCACTACATAGCAAGACCCTATCTCTAAATAAATAAATGCAATTTTAAAAGACAAACTATTCCTTAAACTTCAAGTGATATCCCAATTTCTAATACAGCAAGACTTGGTATTGCCCTTCCAGCCTACACAGTCTCAGTCTCAAGACTAATTTTTTAGACGGGACATATATCTGGGCCTCTCCATCTCTCCACCTCTCATCTGTTTTATATTTCCCCTCCAGACTTTCTTGATAAGGAGAGATTAAAATTACATAATTTATTTTTATTATGAAAAGTCATATGCCAGGTGACCTATACATTAAGTCTTAAATAATTACAAATTGATCAAGAGAATATCCTCTAAAATACAAAACTACTTACGCATTTTGGAATCCATACTCTCCAAGCTTCTCATAAAGTTCACAGTTGTGTTGGACTAAATTCTTAGGCTCATCTATAAGAGGCTGAAGTTCATCAAACTGGAAGATAAAAGAACTGTGTTTCAAAAAACAGTCAGTGCAGGCAGGTATGTAGGGAAAAGGGAATTCTCCTATGCTGTTGGTGAGCATGAAAACTAGTACAACCACTATGGAAATCAGTATGGAGATTCCTCAATAAATTAAAAATATAGTCAGCCAAAAAAATATATATACATTTCAGTAGTTTGCCATACTAATAAATGTCTGCAAGCTGATGGCCTCCACTCTGAACCTCTCCTGTAATTGTAGAGGCCAAAAGTAACAAATTAATCACATGATGTCTCGATAAATTTAACATTAAAATATTTATAGCCGGGTATGGTGGCTCACGCCTGTAATCCCAGCCCTAGGGAGGCTGAGGCAGGAGGATCACTATGAGTTTGAGACCAGCCTGGGCTACATAGTGAATTCCAGTGACGAGTGAGACTGACGTCTCAACTACATAGTGAGACCCTGTCTCAAAAAACAAAAACAAAAACAAACAAATAAAATATTTATACAAGTTTTTTTTCTGATGTATACTTTTTTGGTGGACTCTGTATCAATACCACTTAATTCAGATATATCTCTCTTGGGTATATTCCCAAAAGAATGAAAGGTGTCATATTATAGTGGTACACACATAGCCATGTTTATTTACAGCAGTCCAGCTTATGACACTTAAGCTCCAGAAATAGCCAAGACGACATTCAAGAGATGAATTTATAAAAAAAATGTGGAATATATACATAATGGCATATTATTCAGCCATAAAAGAATAAAATCCTGTCATTTGCAGGATAATAGAAGAAACTTGAACCCATCATACCAAGCAAAATAAGCTAGACTCAATTAAAAATGGCACGTTTTCTTTTTTAGGAGAAACCTAAAATAAAAATAAATAAATAAATAAAAGAGTGGAAATTAGATAGTAGACTCTTGCAGATGGGGAAGATTAGGGGGAAGAGAGGAAAAAGGGAAAAGGAAATGAAAATGATCTAGACATAATAAATGAATATATTTAAATGCTATTCTGATTTTAAATATGCACAGTGATATGATATTTTAAAAGAATTGTGTTTATACTATTCCTTTTGAGGACCAGATGCAATTCATCTTTCACCCTGTGTATATTTTGCTCAAAATCATGAGTGGATCTTCAACGTCTATGTTGCACTGCATTAAAAACTGTCCCTTTCATTTGGAGAAACTGCATAATGCAGCAGTTAAGAACCTTCAGTGGCTGCCTTTGAGCCAGGCCACCTGACTCGTTTCTAGTTGTGCAACTCCACTTACCCTCCCCAAGCTTCAGAATCCTCAATTCTACAACAAAGGTGAAGACACTGCTTATATTATAGAACTGCTCATAAACTAAGTTAGTGCCATTAAAGTAGCACCTGCTGCACAGGAAAAGTTCAGTAAATGACACTGTATTGTTGTTGTTACTGTTATTATTGTTCTTGTTATTATTACGCCATCTTTAGCATTGAATCATGAGCTCTTTGAGGTAATAAATTTTGCCATCAGCATCAACTGCATTCTGGTTCCCGGCATAGAGCAGCTTCTTGGTAGAGGAAAGAATGACCTTCTTCTGATTCTTAATAACCATTACCTATGCCAATAGGCACTCTAAACAGGACAGATTTCTTCTAATTTAACTTCTTGTAAGTTTATCCTAAGCCTTCTCAAAAGATTTGAAAGTTTTCTAAAGAAATAGATTTCAAAAATGCTACATTGAAATCCAATATTTTGCAAAATTAATGTACACTAAAAATATGTTTTCAAATGCTGTAGAATAACAAAGAAATAGATTTCAAAACTTCCTTTAAGATATTTCTAGTATTGAGTAAATCTTGGCATCAGGTTAATTTTCTTGATATCTAAGATAAATCCCTCTTAATTGCTGTTTAAGTTTACTTTGTTTTATTTTTTCCTCAGGAGTATGAAAAAGAAAAAATTGTGGTCATGATTTTGTGAAATTAGAGTTCACCCTTTTCATAGCTTTCTTTTCTAGATTGACTATTCTAAGATGTATTAACCATTCTACTGAAGATTATTTGTCCTACAAAGTTTAGGAACACAGAATCAAATCCATCTCCAGAGAGTATCCAGATTTCTCTGTATCATTTCACAGAGTTGCATTTTTTTTTTCTCTCTCTCTCTCTTTATTGGAATCATCAGTCAAAGAGCCACACTTTTCTTTCCCTGCAGGAGACCTACTGCGGTGGCATAGCAGGCAGGAGGGTCAGCTTCAGCACAGCACTTCTCCAGCTTGGCTTCATAGCCCTTGGCAAGTCTCAGCAGCATTCCAATAGAGTAATCAGGGTGCCTTCTTGAATACTCAAACAAAAACCTAAGAAGATGAATGCAGACTGAGTCAGATAAAGAGCTAGAAAGAAGCATCACTTGGAAAGTAACTCCTGTTCCAAAGGTCTAGACTTGACTAAATCCCAGATGGTAAAACTTGGGGATGGATCTAGAGTTAAGAATTCTTCTATTCAATTTGGGACCTGCTGCTTACCTTCCACATTATCTTAGACAACTTAGTAAAATAATCAGAGCCTAACTGTTCTGTTCTATACAGTGAAGATAGTAACAGTATCTGTCTTATAAGGTGGGCTGTGAGAAATATATAGCATACTCTGCAAAACACACACATCTTGGGTCATACAAAATGGTACCTGCCATTTTTGTATGTATTTAGTTTGATTTGGTCTACATCTGAAAAAGATTCCAATTGGCATAGAGATATTTATTGACATTTTCTTTTTCCTTTTCATATAGTGAAATCTTTTAGGGTGTCTAATTTTGCTAAATATTATTCAGTGCATGAGATACCATCATGATCCAACAATGAAATGTAAAATTTATCACTACACTTACTGGCAACATATAGTAACTTTTCATTTGATTACATGCTACCTTGCCATGCTACTGAGCTTGTCTTTTCAATCAAATGTAAAGCACATGGTATCAGACTCCATACTTTTTATATGTCTTTGGCACCATTATATAAATGGATAGATATAGAGGAATATTTGTTTATAAATGGTTGATAGGCAGTGAATATTCATATATATATATATATTAGATGCTTAAGAAATACCCTTAGGATGAGGAAATGATTACATGAATGATTATACATCACAAAATTTACATATACATAATTTGTGTATACACAGACTATTTCTAGAGATATTTCCAGAAATATTCCCAAGGAATAAAGATTATTGAGCTTCTTCCATGAGCATGTATATGCTAGATCATGACAATGTTTCAATTTAATTTTTTTCAAAGTAACTTTAAAGACTGGAAGAGGGAAGGATGAAGGATTCTGAGCAACATGGAAATTGTAGTAATTCCAAAGGAAAGCGTTGCATATATTCCTAAATCTTGAAACCTTATGAAAGTTATGAAAGGGTAATTTCTCATCTACTCACGTGCCCAAGAAGACATCTTTTGCTTCAGAGTAGTGTTTGCAAACCTCTTTATCATTAATAAAATCAACAGTTAGTGCAGGCAAATCAGCAGGCAGCTCATCTCTTTCAGACTCCGCAATGCAGTGGGATTTTTCCAGAAGAGGCTTTTCACAGCATTCCTTCAGTTTAGTAGAGATTGTCTCCTGATTTTCACAAATGTACTTGGCCAGTTTTGCCTGAAAGCAAGTTGAAAATTGTTCAACATAAATTGATTTCCTACACTTTCTCCCCAGACTTTAAACTGGCATGACACAGTCACTGTACCCTAAGACCAGTCCAAGTGCACCCATGAACATGTTCTCAATCAGTGTGCCTCAGCTTAGAGACTCAAAAACAGTGACTGGCTAAAACATTACCACTTAATAAAAAAGATTAATTAGGAACAAGTTATAATACATTTATTTTAGTGAATTTGTTATTATTTTATGTTTCTACTGTTGAGGCATTTACCCTTTTTTATTAAAATTTAGTGCTATTTTTCCAATTAATATACCCTAAATTAAATTCAGGCATTCATTTTCATTTTGAAACCAAATAATTGAATAAAATATAAGAGATTTTTGAAAAATGAGTCAAGATCGCAGTCATAAACCTTGCTTAAAATATATAAAATGTTTGCCTTTAATTTTCCAGGTAGTGTCATATTAAATTCAGATTCTGTTATTTGGTCATATTTTTCATTTCACTTTTTTATTTATTAGTATGTTTGAAGTACATAATGCTTAAATTCCTTGTGTGGAACTGGTACATGTACATAATATACCCTAATTCCTTTTTTATTCTCTTTCCATCCTCACTCCTCCCTTCATCTCTCCGTCCCCTTCTCATTTTAATTTTGAAGAAAGGTATTAGCGGCACAGTTTGCAAAAGCTAAAACTTGGAAACAGCCCATTTGCCCATCAGTTGGAGACTGGATAAAGAAGATGTGGTTTTTCTATGAAGCACAATATTTACTCAGCCATAAAGAATAAGAAGTTAGCATCATTCATAGGAAAATGGATACATATTGAGGATATACTCCTAAGTGAAATAAGTAAGTCAAACGTGTAAATACTGAATAGTTTCTCTGATGTGAAAAACTATAACAGTACATAGGATCCTAATGATATAATTGACAATGTGAAATAGGAAGAAAAGGACTAAATGTGTAGGGAAAGTGGGAAGGGTAGGGGAAAGATAATAAGGGAAAAGAAAAAACATGAGAAAATGAAAAAATGGATAAAGTGTTTTGGGAAAGTGGGAAGGGTAGGGGAAAGATAATAAGGGAAAAGAAAAAACATGAGAAAATGAAAAAATGGAAATAAAGTGTTTGTAAATGGGGAGGGGAGGAGGTGGTGAAGGGAGGGCAGGGACAAGGGGAAAAATGAGAATCAAGACCTGTAAAGGTGCAAGATCCCAATGATGAATGTAACTGTACTGTATACCTAAAATGTACCAATAAACTCAATGAGAGAAAAAAATTTTTTTGAAGAAAGAGAAATAATATTACAAGTTTAGGGAGGAGACTCTGTTAAATATTTAATACACAGAAAGAAAATAGAGGGGAAAATATATCTTTTTAAAGTTCTTTTCAGGTACTGGCCCTTCTCCAACCCTACCTATGCTCGAAAAATACCTTAGAAATCTACCATTGTAGCTATCTTGCTTCAAATAGAGCTTTTATTCTTAGAGTGACTACAAGGGGTTACAAATCAGTTAATGAATTTTTCCTGTCACCTTTTTAAAAAGTTAAAAAAATCCCAAGGCAGAGAAAACTTGGACATAGAGCAAATGACAGCACAGAAGACCAGGCAATCTCTGTCAGTTGTCACCAATGGCACCAACATCTTCCTTCTACCCATTCAAGCATGTGAACTATCAAAGATAAATTAATGATTCCTTACCCTGTCTTCTGCACATTCAAGGAGGTCACCATGGCAGCATTCCTTGTTGATTTTGGTAAGATCTTTTACTATGTTGGAAATTTCTATAAATTCAGCTTTGCAAAATTTCTGGCTCAATCGAGCTATTGACCTAAAACAGAAATTTCCCCCAATCAAAATATTATTTTTAAGAATACTTATGTCAAAGTTCTAGGGAAAAACACGACTGTATTTACAATAAGAAAATTCAAGACAGATTTAGATATAGACACATTTTTAAAATTTATTAGTAATTTTAATGCCAGATCTGAGTCAAATGGTTATCCTTTTCCTTAGGCAAAATTATCCCATTATAAGAGTATGTGTGGTATGGGAAGGTGGTAATTTGTAGAATCAGAATTCAAGGAGGAATTCTGAAAGGGACAACATAGTCTGAGAAGCAACAAGTTTGCAATCCACATCTGACTTCCAGATCCAGCTGTACCACATCTTAGTAGTGTGACCCAGACAAGTTATTTAGCCTCTCTGGGCTTATCTTTTGCAGTGTGCTAAAGTAAAAAACTATTTTTTTTAAAAGGTGGCAAGAAAGATGCTGGGGGAAAATCTAACTTAATTATACTATCCCCAAATAACTGTTTCTTTCAGCTTCCCCAGTTTGATTTATTTGGGGAAGGAAAAAAATTATATCAGATTCTAAGAGACTATTTAATACTATTAAAGGACTATTTTGAGAATTATTAAATAATGCATATGAAAGTATTTGCATATAATGCATATACCTATTTGGCTCTTTAGGGTAGTATGAATTGGTGGGAAAGATGAGAAAAGATAGTTAAGTTGGCAATTTCTTGAAAGCATGAATAATGTCTGTTATTTTCCTTTTCTTTCCTATAATAAAAATTAATTGTTGGCTAACAGATAAGGAATTGGAAGGACTAGATATATTTTTTACAGCTCAGATATTTAAGAACGGTCCCAGAATCAATTAAAGAATACAAAAACAGAGTCCCAAACAAAAAAATCAGATCTGAGGGGGAGAATTGGATAAAATAAAATAAAATTTATTGAAAAGAAAAAGGATTGAATTTGAAGTTAAGAGAAAATAAGAAGGGTGTGGTGGCACATTCCTATAATCCCAGCACTTGGGTGACTGAGGAAGGAGGGCTGCCATGAGTTCAAGTCCAACTTGAACTAATAATGAGACCCTCTCTCAAAGAAAAAAGGAGGAGGAGGAGAGGAAGAAGTAACTGACTTAGTTGATGGCTACATTTAATTATTAGGACATAAACAGACACTTTCAGTTAATTGTGTGTAAAGATAAAGAAAAGAGCATGAACATAGCTCTATAAAAATGATGGACCATTAAAATCCTCAGACTTTATAAATAAATAGCATTTAAATATCTGTCTCTTTTGGGATAATAAAGGTAGACTTCTAAATTCTTTGACAATTCAAAAAATAAGATAAAAACTAATATCAAATTGTAACTGATGCTCTGTTTTTTTACTGTATCATCTTTCCACATTTGAGATAAAAAGGTTTATTTGAAAACACTGTGTAAATGCTGAAATATTATTATCTATGTCATTATAAAGATGCTAACTGTCTTAAAAATATTTACCATGCTTGGAAAGCTCTTTCCCCAAATTTCTGGATACTGGCACATTTGAGTCTCTGTTGGGCAGCTGAAGCCAGTACTTTTTCTTTCAAAGCTTGCAACTATAGAAACAAATCAGTATGAAAAATTAAAACAGAAAAAAAATATGCACAAAATATCCCTTCATAAACTCAGACAAGATAATGCCAAATTGAATTTTAGGACTAGATTAAGCTTACAGGTAAATTTCCAATTATTCCTTTTATCAAATGATACTTTGCCATGTGAGGTATGGAGAAATCAGTGCTGTCATGGTGAAGGTGCTAGGTAGTTAAAAGAAGGATGGACACATTGCCAGGGAAACAGGATCTAAAATAAGCATGTACTTATATCCCTGGTGATATATTTGCTGACTTCTTAATTTTGTGCATAATTCATTTCAGCTCCCCCTCCAATTCTCTAACATCGATAAAACTCCCCAGAAAAGAGAACGAAGCACATAAAATATTTACAGAAGAAATAAGATGAACTCTGGCTTTTAACTACAGTAAAATTACCTACTTTGAATTTCTTCCCCAATTAAAAAAAAAACTTAAGATAAATAGAAATGGTGACCCCTTGCTGCATAATTAGACAAATGTGTCACTACAGCAATCACTACCAAGGAGAGTGGTGGGTGTTTAGTTTGGTCCATGCACAGTGACTCCTGGCAGATCAGCAAGGTAGCTCTTATAAAGAAGAAATGAGAAGCTTTCAGGAAGAATAAGAGGTCTTTTGAGGATATGCATGATGAAGGTGTTTTTGACTATGTGAGGAAGTCCTATCAAAGTTTTAGGTTTCCTCACCCTAACCCTAATGTGCTCAAATTCTGAAGTTACATGAGAAGCGGCTCTTTTGTTTTCCTGTGGGGTTACCTTTGGTGTCAGGCAGGTAGCTTTGTCAGCACTTTGGCAGCATTCTGTCAAAACATCCTTGTACTGTTCAGCATAGTAAAGGAGTTCTGGGGCATAAAAGTAAGGATGTCTTCTGGCAACTTCATATAAATAACTAAATTGTAAAAACAAGCAGTCATTTTTCAACAGCACAGAATATTAGCAGACTAATCATAATCAACATTCCTATCCAAGCCTGGGAGAACCAAGCAGGCAATTTACCAGTTAAGCTCTACTTGTGCCTGGTGGCCTTGTATTTGTTGTTCTGAAAACAAAAGTTGTGTGTTTGTGTGTACATGTGCTCACATCATATAGTAAATGGGTAAATGTTGGTGATCTAATGTTGCTGACAAAAATGAACTCAGTCCTAAGAACACATATACACTATCTATATACATTTTTTCAAAACATCTTAAAACCTGTTAATCTCAAACTTTTCATATAGATCATATTCTGTTAAAAGATTCTTGGTCATATTCTTTGTTGCATAACATTTTGTGGTATCCAATATGATCACTTCAAAAAGCATTAGAAAAACAAACTTCCAACTCTCAATGTTGAAAAGCTCTTTGAATATGTAATTGTTATAATTCCTTAATTTTCAATTTTGAGATATAGATATATGATTACTTACTGTCCCAAGAAAAGCTGCTTGTCTTCATTGAAGGAGGTGCACATAGCCTCTGGCTCTAGCCGCTCAAATGGAGGCAGGCTGGGGTTGTCATCTTTGTGTTGCAGGAAGCACTCATTTCTCTCAGGTTCCTCTTTGGCACAGCAGTCGGCTAACTCTCCATAATTTTCACGGAGAGTCGGAATTGCACATAATTTATCTCCAAATAGAGTATGCTAGATGAGAGAGAGAGAGAGAGAGAGAGAGAGACAATGACAGAGACAGAGAGAGAGAGAGAGAGAAGCCTTCCATTAGCAGGCAGTATTTTATTTTCTTTAGAGCCAAAGTACAGTATAAAATATTTCACATTCAGGTAAAGCTTGTTGGGAAATCATTGTATGCACACGTCGTACACATGGATGGAAACATCACATGGCACCCAATATTTACAATTTGTTTATAAGCACCAGTTAAAAATGTCAATACAAAAAATTTAATGAGGGCTGGGGATTTAGCTCAGTGGTTCTGCCAGCTGCTTCTCAAGCACAAGGTCCTAGTTCGATCCCCAGTACCAAAACAACAAAAAAAAAATTAATGAAATTTTTAAAAGTTTGAACTACAGAAAAAGGAAGACATGAAAATCACTCCCCTCTCCTGCAGATTTCACTTCCTTTGACTATCTCTGTGTAATTTTCATAACAATCAACTGCCACCGTATTATTTATAATAAATAAAAGAAAGGGCAAGTGAAAGTTAATGACTGAAGAACCTGACACTAAAGTCTAGGAGAATGATCTTTAGAACCAGACTCAAGAGAAACCACCCTTGGATGTAGCCAGAATGCACAGCGGAGAGGACCACCTTCCAGTTCTCTGTTGAGCTGCTTTTTCTCGAGAGGCCCAACTTTTGTGTAGATATCATTTAAAAGTGGGGAGTAATACAATCTACCATATATTACTATGGAATTAAAATATAGTTTTTTATTCTAGAAATATTTATTTCCAAATACTTGCATATTAAACAAACCCTTTCCTTCCTCATTAGTTTTTATTGTAAAAGCCACTGTAACCCCACAGAAAATATACTGCACTAGACAGAATTTATTAATTTTTTTACATGAGTTTTTTTTTAATTCTTCTATAGAATCACAGTAATGTGGAGTTAAGGTGCTGACTCTATAATGAGAAAGAAGAATATCCAGATGGAAACAATAAGAAGAAAGGTTTTAGTGCTAAATAAAAATAAGGCCCTGACCCTGGAGGCATATATCTATCAATTGAGGAGTAGGAGAAATGCCAGCCTTTTGTTTTGAAAACCTACCCGGAAAATTTAAAAAGCTTAAATTCTTCAAAATGATCAAGTACCCTGCTTTTCACCATATGTAAAATGTTAGTATTTCTAAACTGAAGGAAAAAATGGCTGCATTATTATTTAACCCAGGTAATAAAACTTACTTAGTGCTTTCTGAACATTAAATCATGCCATTGTCACAAAGATATTATCCTTTCTGTGTCCACTGCAGAATGATAGTCACAATAGTCGAAATATGGAAACAACCTAAATGTCCATCAGTGGATGAATAAATAAAGAAAAGGCTGAACACACACACAATGGAATTACATTCTGCCTCAAAGAAGAAAAGTCTTCAGCTGGCAACAACATGGCTGAACTGTGAGAACAGTGCCCCATGCATAACTCCATTTACATGAAGTATCAAAAATAGTCAAGCTCTGAGAATCAACGTGTAAAATGATAGTGTCCAGGGCATGGGAAGAGTGGGAAATAGGGAGTTAACCAACTGCTATAAAATTTCAATTAAGCCAGATGAATAAAGGCTCAAGATTTACTGTGCAATACTTCATACATGATAAAAATTTAAAAAGATAGATTTTATGTCATTTTCTTATCACAACAAAATAAAATTAATAAGCACATAAAATGCTATCACCATTAGTCTTTATGAAAAGAAAGCCAACTTCAGCTATTGAAACAAGACTTAACAATGACATATTTCCATTTAAATAAACTGCCGCTGCTGTGTGTCATCTCAATGAATAATTGTTTTTAAAACTGTCAGCAAAACTAGGGCATCTCTGTCCCAATGGCCTTTCAGTTCATAAACAGTTTTTGAGTATGATTTACAAATTTGTTCACTTAATAATAATTTTTAAAAAAAACTAAAAAAGAATTTTTTCCTTTGAAATATTCAAGAATCACTAGAAGAACGAATGCTTGAAATCATAACGTACGTACAATGGATTTGTCACAATTTTCAGCTGACTCATCAGCAGCACATGTTTTTGCAAATTCATTCACTTCCTTCACTAATTTTATGTGTTCTTCAAAGGGGCACTTCTGGAGATACTGAGCAAAGGCAATCAGTGTCCTGAAATAAGAGACGTAGAGACATGTAACACAATGAGGCATTAGTATAAAAGGGTTTCTGTGCTAAGAAGCAAATCATGCACGTGTATGTGGTCTATATCTTGACATGGCTCTTTCAGTGTTTTCCAGAAAACCCATTCATATGAGGTGCTAGGTGAGGTTCAGAAAGTATATGTGGCTTCCTATGCAAAGGGATATGTATTTCCACCCTAACTGTATGTGTATGCATAGCAGTGGACACAAGTGTTTAGGGCAAGCAAGAAGACATATACTAAATAGATCTATGTGCCAAGACCAGGCATTACATAAATCCTTTGAGTTATTTAAAACAAAAACACAAAACCCACACATCTCATTTAATCAGGCTATATGATGACACTGACCTTTAAAAAATAAAAATTTTTACTAGGTTAAAAACTTATTACTTACTATGTAAAGCGTTCCCCTTTAGAAAGCAGCCTGCCCAAGGGTCCTTATGCTATAGTCCTTTACACTTATATGAGTTCCAGAGTTTCCATGTGCAATAGTAGCCACTAGCCACATATGACTATGTAAATTTAAGTTACTTAAAATTAAATACAACTTGAATTTTTGTTCCTCGGTATTCATATTTAAAATTTTTAGTAGCCACACATGCCAGTGGCTACTGTATTGAACAGACCATATTGAACAGAACATTCCCATCAATGGAGCAAAGTCTGCCGGACAGCACTGGTCTAGAATCTGAAGTATGAGGGCTTTAGAGTAATAGCCAATGCCATCAGAAACACTCAAGTTGATTCTTTAACTTACAGGCCTTTGAAATGTTCTTCTCCCAAATCTTTAAATCGATGAGCAATCTCACTCTTGTCTGAGGGGATGAAGAAAAAATATAAGATGTGCTTAAATACTGAGAAAAGCAATTAGTTATCATGCTAATTTTAATACATCTTTAATTTTAACTTATTTGCTTCAAAATATTAAACAATGGTTCCCTAAGGAGAATCTTTGAATGGTGGTGAACTATATTTTCTACATCTAAAGAATTATTCAGACACCAAGAATACAATTTTAAAACTCATTAAATATGTATAATTTTATAAGTATTACAGCTTTATTACTATAAATGTCTTATGAATTTGGATAAAAATTAATGCTTTGTGGTGCTGAGTACAGCTACTAAAAAGACATTCTAAAATAGAAGTAAATATAACTGTAAGTACTATATTTATATTAATAGCACACTTTTTAAAATAAAACATTGTGCAGTGGATAGGCCTTTGAGATAGATATTGATTAAATTTTCAACTCTACCTAAAATTTAAGTTTTTTGCCTCACATTCTTTTATGTACAAAAGAAAGTTACAGACACCAAATGATTCTCACCATTTCCTCACCTAAGAAGTTTAAAATAAGTTAATTGGACAACCATATACTTTATTTTGTTTGTCAATACAAAATATCATCCTATTCTAGAAATAAATGCTAAAAGAAAACTTAATTCTTAAAAAATGTAGAATTCACTGAAACTTTCACTAGGAAAATACAACTGAACAATGGAAAAATAAAATTCTTACGTGCTTCTCGACGAAACACACCCCTGGAATAAGCAGAGCTGAAAAGAAAGAGAAGAGAAATAAAGGTTACCCACTTCATTGTGCCCAATGCTTGTGGGGTTGATAGAAAAGTGGCATTCATGGCAGTAAATCAGCCCTAATATATTTCTTTAACCAATAATTGTAGATTATTAACTAGATTCATCTGGCATTTCATTGGCTCCCAAGTGATTACAAAATCACAATATTCTGGCCAAAAAATTGTTTGACTAAATCCCTTGCGTTTGTTTGCCACCCAGAACTGTTTTCTCCACAAGAATTTGTCAACTCATTAAAGTTATGTAAAATGTCTTATCAAATTTTACATAAGAGTTTAAACGATTTGTACCTACTATTTATTGCCGTGTTCTTTATTTGCTCTTTCCCACTAGAACACTTTAAATTTTGACATTTGTAAAACTTCAACCAAACCAATGACTTTTCCTGGAAGTAAGACATACTAAAAGAGCTAAGACCCAAATTACCTTACTAATTCCAAGTATGCTTTTATCCAGGTAATTAAAAATTTAGACACATACACTGCCTTTCATTCTCCTGAAATCATTCTATGTGAGAAAGCTTACGTTGTCTCCAATGCAAACTAAGAAAAAGCCATAGCAACAGGAACAACTAAAATAGTTATTTAGAAGTTCCATGTCCCATCCCAGCTGTGGTCTATGTGTGGTACAGGTCCTGAGGGGGACGCTTAGGTCCACTGTGGGGATCTCTCTTGGGACTTTTCAGTCAAGGAGGCTTTGGGAAGAAAATGGACACAAATGACAGTGACGATCTTTGCCATCATAATACACAAGGACAGCTTGAGTCTTGACTACACCTCTAGAGATTGTGCAAATCCAAGACCTGCACCAGGCATCTGATTCTTTTCATTCCTCTTTCTTACATTTTCCCTTCTCATTTTATAAAAAGAAAAATCAAAAGTTCTTTTTCAATGTTATTTTAAGTTGCAAAATAGCATTATTTGTAAAAGCAAAGCAAAGGGGCGATAGTTATATTAAATGTTTAAAAGATACTCATTCCCCACTGCACCTTCCCAAGATGTTCATCTGTGCCTCAGAAGAGCTCTACCTTTTGCCCTGGAAGTGAAGAACTACTGCTATTAATCAGCAAGAAATTGACTTTCTCTGACACTAAAATTAATTATTATAATTACAATTAATGACCAATAATTAGTATCAGGCCAGTCGTTTTACTTCGTTAGCTAATTCAGTCAAAACTGTCAGTCAAGTTGCCCCCATGGCTCCTCCAGGTGCCTGGAGAATGAGTATTCAGGAGGAGCCTCACTTTCTCTGGCCAGTCATACAGTGAAAGAAAGTACACTTTTCTATGATTTTATTCTATTTCATTTCTGGGAAGGAGTACTAACGAAGTACCCAAGCACAGAGGAGAAGACAGATGAGACGTAGAGATGGAGTTTTATTAATTACTCAAAGGAGTCCTGAGAGGGAACGGCAGACAGATTTCAAGCAGCGGATCAACAAAAGTAAAAGAATACCTTCTTGTGGAATTATTTCCATTAGCGAAAAAACATTTTACAAAAAGCCAAAAAACCTACAGTGGAAAAGAGACAAAGAAATTGTTCTAACTTTTGAAATACAAAAGATAATTATTTCTTGGATAAATTATGAATTTTTCTTTTAACCTCTTAAAGAAGAGTGGGCACTATTTATTTAAAGTCATGTGCCAATGGGGCAGGGATGTATCTCAGTGGTTCCACCAAAGGGCAAGGTCTCAAGTTCAATCCCCGGTAGCAAAAAAAAAAAAAAAAAAAAAA